CTCTTGTTTTACCCTTGTGTGAGTTCTTATTAAACACTTATATTCCACTAGGTGTTTAATTGTATGTTGATGTTGTTATGTATGTTTACAAATCGGTTTTGACATATGTATCTATCGGACGTCTTGTGCAATTTAGTAAGGATGAACTGCGGTTATTCTTATTGGGTTGTACGACGGTTGTCTACGTGGCACAAACACGGTCTGGGGCGTGACAGACGTGGCCTTCACTCACTGTTGCTTTACTGCTCTCACGCCTATTAACAAAATAAGCATTAACGCGGAAAAAGGAAACCTGGACCAAAGCGGTGATGGGCAAATATCTGGCATTTTTCATCACGCTGTTGAAAACCTCATCCAGATTAGAAGTGATTGTACCATATCTATATCCACCATCATGGTGTAATGACCACATTTCCAAGGGAATCTTCCCCAAAAATTGTCGCGCCTCCACCCGCATTTCCCCTATCTTCTTGAACCCACCATCAAACTTCTTTTTCTGATGTTGTCGTGCGGTCCAGACAAACATATTTTTTAGGTGAATGTCTTTGAAATGAGTGTGCACATTAAGTGCTAGATGGCGGATACATAGCCTATGGTGCGCATAAGGCTCCTCCCAGGTACTGCCCACCTCATTCATAGCATTCACTATACCTGCATGTCGATCAGAAATGACACACAACTCCCTATCAGTGACAAACTCCCTAATGCATGTCATAAACCATGGCCAACTCTCTCTATTCTCATATTCAACAACAGCAAAGGCCACGAGAAATATTTGGTTGTTCGCATCACTACCCATAGCCATGAGCAATGCACCCTTGTACTTCCCATACAAGTGTGTGCCATCAATAGTAAGTACAGGTCGACAATGCTAAAAACCATGTATTGAAGGCTTGAATGCCCAAAATACTCTCTGAAACTGCATATAACCTGTTGGAGTAATAGGGGGTGGGTACCAGTGAACAACAGTTTCAGGATTGGAATGTTGGAGTGCTGTCATGAAATGTGGCAATTCAGAATATGACTTCTCCCAATCACCAAAAATTTCTGCAATGACCTTTTGTTTGTCCATCCATGCTCTCCTGTATGATACCGTATACCTATACTTTTCCTTTAGCAGCTCAATGATAGTATGCACTTTAAGGGAAGGATCAATGCGAAGAATGTCAATCACATCTTTAGCAATGAAATCAAGAGTCATCGCCACGTGATCAGTACTGTCGGTGTTGCCAACACAGCTAGCAGAATGAGGTCCAGGATAACGCACAATTGTGAAGCTGTCGAGGTTGGCTTTGTTTTTTGTGGCGCGTATTCTCCAGGGGCAATCACGTTCCTTCTTCCTCTTGCACTCTGCAACCCATTTGTATTTATCGGACTCCAGCACCCGATAAAATTGGTTCCTTTTAATAGAATACAAGCTCACCATATTGATGACTTGTTCTTTATTGTCAAACTGTTGACCAACCTCAAGCTCACCTTCGGGTGTAAACCTTTTCATACCTGCTCCACTCATCCACACATCGGTAAAGCCTTCAGGGAGATCATATATTCTAGTAAAGTGGCTAGACGGGGCAGTTGTCGTGACATTATCACCATCTTCATCAGATTCTGTCATGTCATCACCGTTGATGTTATCGTCAGCATCATCATCACTTCCCTGCCCATCCACAAATGATGCACCATTGTACACAAACCCACTCTCTTCCTCTATAACCATGTCCAGTATAACAGCGTTTGATGAGTTCCCTGCATTGACACCATGCCTAGGTACAACAACATTTGATGTTGATGGAGTAACATAATAGTCAAATATGGATTCATCAATGTATATCTCCAGCGTGGACATACTCTCCATCTGAATTATCAACCACATATTTGATACAGCTAGCTCATCAAGAAGTGGCATAAGCATGTAATTTCCTCCGTTCATGGGAAATTTCATTTTCAACTGCAAACAACGGCTCGTAGGAATCATTGTAGTTGCATGGATTTTTTGCAGCATCTCGACCAAACATGCACCACGAGAAACAGTGACAAAGCTGCTTCTACCACATTCATGGCGTATTTGGCCACCTTCCTCAAATACGTTCCCTCCCCAATGACACACGATTGGGAAGTTTGAGAAATTCATATTCTAATAACTATACATGTCCAACTTTCATGAGTACACATTAATATACACAATTCATACACCCAAATTAATCATTTCATAGACATCACAACATATTAAGCAAATCCTATATGATATATATACACTTAAAAATGGATAAATATAACATTTTTAAAAAATAATACATTCTAATTTTTGAGTTTTTTATCATTAATAAAGTTCAAAAATTTAACAAAGTTCAATTCATACCTCCAAATCTACATTACATAACAAAGTTCAAAAAAAATTATATAACAATGAATTCAACATCAACATTCAACCCTTCATACACATTCACATTACACAGCACATCAATTCACAAATGAATTCCTAATTTACAAAATCCAATTTTCTATATTCTAAACCCTAAAATGAAAAATGAGATAAATTGGAGATACTTGTTTACCTAGAGTGTTGAAGAAGATGGAAGTGAAGTAGTATTGACAAGATAGGGGGGCCTCGCCTGAATTTCGCTGGACTTAGAACCTGTATTCGCCGCTCGTCGCTCGTCCTCGGTCGTCCTCGTTGCGCAGCTTTTGGGAAGGGGGGTTTTGTTGTTCTGTCTGTGGCGTAGCTTGACCCGGCGTTTTAATTTAAGGGTAAGTCGTCAAACGGTTGGGCGACTTATAAGTCGCCAAACCGGATGGCGACTTATAAGTCGCCCAACCGTTTGGCGACTTACCCCGACCATAGTTAAACCCAACAGTAGATCGGTAAATACTTTTAACCCAGCATTATTTTCGTAATTAATTAGCATTAATTCAAAAAAAAAATCTTCGCGGACTACAAACGTCAGAGCACAAAATATTTAGTCAATGTCTACTTTTATTACGTGGCATGTTTTTTCTTAGACTAAGGGGGTGTTTGGTTATCGGCCTATCACCCATTATTTGGTTGATTTGACCACTATTTAACTTTTTGACCAGATAATAATAAGTTAATTAGAGTATTTGGTTAAATGACTTTTACATTTGGTTTCTGATCTCAAACAGCCAAAATATAAAAATCCATTAATCACAGCTTTTACGATCGGCTGTTTTGTATATTCCCATGCTGCCCCCTATCTTTTTCTTGCTCATGTGCTCCTAGTTGTTACTAAACAAAAATCACGTTGCAGCCCAAGGAAAAAAATTAGGTCCGTATGCCTTCTATTTTTTGGTACTAAGTTTAATTTTAATTCTTTACTAATAACTTCATTATTTTTTTACTTTTTACTAGGTAGGAAATAGTTCCTATTTTTTAAAACTTTTTGTACGTTCCCTTCTATTTTTCATTGTAAATTCACTAAAAATAGTTCTTAAATTCTACTTTTTTTGTAATATATAATCATAAAACAAAATAAGCAAGGTATTTTGATATAAATGATCTTGCTTCATGCATACATTTTTCGTTACTTAACACGTCCAAAATGAATTCATTATCGACTTGGCGTGTTTGATTATAATGAGTCTTACAACTTAATTAAAGAGTGGCTATATGCGTATCAGTATCAATTTTTTGATACTACGTTTAATTTTAATTTTTTACTAATAACTCCAATTATTAATCAAAGTAAGATGTTGGCGTTTCTCTAAGAAAATCAGAGTAGTACGATACTAATTAAATCTATTAATTCGTGAAAAATATAATTATTAATTGTACGTGTTAATACATTTTAATTTGGTTCGAGGGCTGGTGATTGCTAGTTGTCCTTTTGTCGTTTTACTCCCTGTCTGAATGTTGTGATATCAATTTAAGCCATCCGTTTTGACGATCGAAAAAAAAATATTTTTATTTTTTTAATCATTAAAATGGTTTAGGTATTTATACTAATTATGTTAATAAAAAATAATCCATGTTCTTAAAAGTCATTTAACAAGTTATCAGCTATTTGTAAACAGCGATTTAACCAAACACTAATTTACAGACAACTAATCCAATCAGCTAATCAAAACAGCCAACAAAATTTGTTGTCATTAATCAGCCAACATGATAAGCCAACAACCAACAACTAACAGCCAATTGCCAAACACCCTCTAAAGTGATTAAATAGTCCGGCGTTGTAGATGCTCTTAGACGGGCTAGACACTAGATGGCCAGTCACAACCCGACTTGCGCCTAACGCCTTTATTGAATTAGTATAGTTAAGAGGCTGCCACGTCACAAAAATAGGCTCATACACAATGGCGAGCCAAAAGAGTTCAGAGTTCAGTGTTTTTATAAACTGTAAAAATACATACTCCGTGTTTAAAAGTTGTGTAATAATACTCCCTCCGGTTCTTATTAAAGTTCTCACTTTCCTTTTTGGGATGTCCCTTATTTAAATTCACACTTCCATTTTAGGAAACAAAACAGTGCAAAACAGTGCCAAACAGTGCCAAACAATGTCCAAACAGTGCCAAACAGTGCACTCCACAGTAAAGTCAAATTCATTTTCTTAATATGTGTGAAGTCAAACTGGGAACTTAAATAAGAACCGGAGGAAGTACAAGCTTGGTTATTTATAGAGTATATTACTTCTCCGTTCTTTTTTAATTGTAACGGTTCACTTTTCACGTTAGTCAACGTACAAGTTTAATTATTAATATTTTTCATTCTTTATCAGTAAAAAATTAAAAAAATCATATTTTAAAATTTTGAAATGAGAGGAATTTAAAAATATTTTTTAAAAATTTAATTTATAATATATTAATTAATACTCCCTCCGTCTCTTAAAACTTTGCCAACTTTCCCTTTTTGGATATCCCACTAATTTTTTCACTTTCCCTGTTAAGTAAAGAATTTGTGGTTCCAGTTAAATCTCTCTATTTGCACAAACATCAACCACACAATTTTTACTTTATTAATTCCCGTGTTGAACAAACTTGACTAAGTTTTAAAGGACAAAGGTAATAAAATATAGTCAAAGTGGAATATATGTATATTGCATTGGGAGACTGTTTAAGCAAGAATTAAACTACTCTAAATTTATATGTATGTAGGGATCGTACAAGAAACAGAATGTAAAAACTAAAAGATTAATGAATGAAATGTATTAATCTAAATGAATATCTGAAGGAATGGTGCTACAAATGCTTAGATAATCAGGCCAGGTTGATCGTGTCCCTCTACTCTATGTTTTTTTCTATTTATACAGCAATATGACTCTATTCATATAATTCAACTGTCCGCCGGAAATGTCGCCGAGTCCCTAGGCCCCGTCATTCGGTTGAGTACTCCTACTAAGTCCATCCTTATCCGATTCGTTGGTCATTTGTTTAGTTGGACTTTGCTTCTTAGGGATGGGCCGATCTATTTGCACTTCTGTGGCCCAACAATTGCCCCCAATTCAAAGAAGAGGAGGGCGCCAATTTCAAAAAATTAAAAGGCCAACCGATTATTTGAATTTTCATCATGACATTGCCTTGGAATGTGTAAGGCCGTCAGTCGTTCAGTATCAATCAATCACTAACCTCTTCCTCCCTTAGTGAATTAGTTCAGCAAGAAAAACTTCCTCTCTCCTCCCTTCGATTTCCTGCAAATCCCGGCCAGCACCTTGGTTCTTCATGGCTTCACAACCCTTCATTCCTCAACACATTTTAGATCCGAAGAACTCCAAGCAAGCGAAACTTTCAGAACATCATGTCGACTTTATCAGATCTTCCATCGGCTTTCCTCATGATGCGCTTATTCGCTTTCCAGCAGCGAACGAGAGGATAGATTGGTTCTGCGATGGCTGGGTAAACTTTCTGATGTCCCTTTCAAGATAGGTATGAAATTCCCATTTTCACGTTTAGTCCGAGACTTTCTTGCTTTCGTCGGAGTATCGCCTTCCCAAATCATGCCCCAAGTATGGAGGGTACTTAGAGCGTTAGAGGTCTTGAGTGAGAAACATAGTTTGGTCCTGGATTTTGAAGACTTGGGTTTTACCTATGACCTCAGATCCTCAGGAGCCGATCGCTTTACTTTAGCAGTGAAGGAAGGAAAAGAAGCCCTAATTCATAAGGTGGACAAAGCTAATGACCGGGGATGGATGAATTTGTACTTCTTTGTAAACAAAGAGTCTTTAGGTTCTGACGGATCATTCTTGGAGGAGAACTTACACAAAGGTTAGTCTCTCTTTCGAATCGTGTTTCTTGATTTGCTCGGTTGATTTCCGTCTTCTACTTTTGTTATCTGATTTGTAACCTCGAGTGTAGGTAATGGAAATGGGTAATTTCAGAATATTTTCTGCGTTCTCTGATATATGTGTGAAACTTGATGTATTTGGCATTGTTCCTTTGTGTTGCGCAGAGAGGAAGACTATTCCACTGGTTCCCGGCCCACATTCTGAGGAGAGAAACGCCAGGATTCTTTCGTTCCCCATCGAGGATCGAACTTATGTGAATCTGGTGTCAGACTTTCAAGGTACGTCACCTCTTCCCGTTGAGTCTGATTGTGTGGGGTTAAGGCGGTCTCGTAGGTACACTCCTACCGCACACGATTTGAATCAGAATTCACATGTCGTTTCCGTAGAAGATTCAGGTCAAGGATCTGAAGCTTCCAAAGATGATGGCGAGGGTATGAGCGCTTTCGTCCCTCTACAAGTCGTTTTTCCCACTGTTAAGAGTACTCCCATGCCCCCATTCAAGAATTCTACTCCTATTACAGGTATTCTCTGAGATTTATGCTCTTCTTTATTAGCGTTGGATCAATTACTCTTAACTTCTGTTCTTCTTTATTTGGGTAGCTACTTCATCAAGTACTTCTCGTTCCGTTCCTTCTGACCACGATTTGTTGGCTATGGCATCGAGGAGGAAAAGGATGTTCTCTAAATTGGCAGCAAATCCTCCAAAGGTCCCCAAATACCCAACGCCTGATACCGCTACCACTCCTGATGCCCCTAATGCGGAGCATGGGGTTGATACCCGAGCGAAGCCACCACAAGCTATGCACTTATCACTTTCCCCGGAATTCTGCGAATTGAAGGACGCTCTGACCATGAAAGACGAAATGGCCCAATTTCAGTTGGCCTCTTCTGCTCCCTTTTTCGACTGCTTGCCTCCTCCTGGTGTTATTGCTGCCTCCTCCGCTTATGCGTTTCAGGTGCTGATGAACCACTACGCTTAATGAATTTTCTTTCCTTTTTACTCTTGATTAAATTGTCTTGTCTTTTTTCAGAGTATTCAAGCGAGCCTTGTTGTTGTTGCTCGTGTATCTTCACTAGAGAGAACCATTGATGAATTGAAACAGAAGGAGACTACCCTAGTATCTTCTCTTGATAAGAGTGCAAAGTTAGTTCGAGAATTGGAAGACAAAAGTTCTACTCAATCTGCCCAGATTCTGCAGCTCAATACCAGAGTCAAATCCTTGGAGGCTTATGGTCGAAAAAAGAAACAAGAAGTAATTGACGCCGCTTGCTATTATGTCTGGAAGACCAGGGGTGAGTTGATGACATCTTTTATTAAATGAGAAATGACATACCAGTCAGCGGAACGGGATGTAGCTACATGGCATAAACTGAGGGAAGAGATGGATCCTCCTGTAGGAGAAGACGGCTTCGAGGTGGGTCATTCTGACGATGAGATTGATCTTTAGTGTTTACCGGTCAGACGATCATGCATACCCTTTTTTCCGCTGGATTACAAACATTCCCTTCTTTTGAATTACTCTGACACTTTTTGACTTGCGTTAAGGGTTCCCGGTGGTTTATCCGGGACTTAACGCCTTATCGCGCTACTCATGGGCTTCACGCTTGGCGGTTTAGCCTAGCCCTGTCCACACCATTATGTGAATCTGTCACTGTTTTTGCTATTGCTTGGATCATATTTTTGTTTATGTGCATTCTGTTGTGTACACATGTCTGCTGTTTATGTGTGCAACATGTCATGCTGTGTCACAAATGCGTGTGTGTTTTGGCCAAAACGTATTCGGTTTCATGGAACTTCATTTATGGTTTTTTCATAATGAGTCCCATGTCCCCTGTATGTTGATGTTTTGTCATGACCAGATCTGATGTTCTATCTGTTGTTCTGGTATTCGGTCACCTGGTATTTTGATCTTAACCTGTCATAGTCCTGCGATGATACCGTTCCGTTGGGATCGGCCGTTGGTTTGGGGCCAACCGCCCTCCGACGGTCAAGTTAGTGAATGATGAATTGTATTTACTATATTCAAGATTACATGAACTGTAACTAATTACCTGCGACTTGGCCATTTTTGTGTGCCTTCCTGTATTTACAATTATTGTCAGGGTTGGTCGTTGGCCTTAAGCCAACGGCCCTCCCACGGCCAAGTTAGTTATTTAGTAATAGGGATAGAAATGCAGAAAAGAAAAGAAAACTTTTGTTAAAAATGGAAACGCTTTAAATGTACCGCATTCCAACTTCGAGGGACTTGTTTACCATCGATTGATTCCAAGCAGTATGCCCCCTGACCAATGACGTCAATGATTTTGTAAGGTCCTTCCCAATTAGGACTAAATTTTCCGGCTGCTTCATTGCCAAATGCTCTCCACAAGACCCAATCTCCCTTTTGAAACACCTTTGCCCGAACATTTTTATTATAGCTTCTTGCCACCATTTGTTGATATGTTCCTGCAAACGGATCTTGGCTCGTTCATGGATCTCGTCAATGGTATCCAAGTCGTGCACCAACTCCACATTGTTCAATTCCCCAGTCATGAGTCCATACCTCGAAGAAGGTACTTCACTCTCAGCAGGAATGACCGCTTCGCAGCCATGCACCAGAGAGAATGGGGTTTGTCCGGTTGCATTTTTCGGAGTTGTCCTGTCTGCCCAGAGTATTAAGGGCAATTCGTCAGCCCATCGGCCTTGCGCCTTTTCAAGCCTTTTCTTTAAGTTGGCAATGATAATTTTGTTGCTAGACTCGGCCTGTCCATTAGATTGCAAGTACCTAGGTGTCGACGTTTCCAATTTGATATTGTATTTCTCACAAAAGCGTCTGGTCTTAGCGCTTATGAACTGAGATCCGTTGTCACAAACTGATGGAGTATATGGCCCGGGAACCCCCGGCCCACAGACTCCTACTACTCCATCGAAGGCCCAACAGGCCTAACAGGCCCAAATCACAGCGCCCAGAGTACCAAGCAGCCCGCACTACGTGCCAGGGGTGCCTCCGGCCCCCTGGCCGAAGGGTCTAAAACTCTCACAGAACGGGTTTCTCAAGAAAACTAAGAAACTGGGAGAAAATGGCGAAAACAGTAGCCCTCGGTACTGTGAGCCCTCGGCGCCAAGATGCCCTCGGTTGGGGGAGCCTTCGGCTACTGCTCTATGACCGAAGGCATCTCACTCGACAAGATATTCGCCTCACATGCGTACAGATCACCGTACTCTGCACAGACGTCCCATCCAACAGCCGCATTAATGCGGCCACATGCGGCTGCCAGCGCCAACCAGTTGAGGCGACCCCTCGGCCAATAAGCGCTTGACACGTGTCCCTGCCCAGCATTTATTGCTACTATAAATAGCCCCCCTTTTTCCCCATTTGTGACCAAGTCGGAACACGCTGAAAACACTCCACATTTATATTTCTCTCTCTCTCTACGTTTACCTGCTTTGACTTCTCTCTAAATTATTCCCCGTAATAACCCTTCGGATATATACCCCCGGGCAGACTATCCATCACAAACGATTTCAGAAGGAACGCCGAATCTGCAAAGGATGTTTCTCTTAATAAACGAAATCACCTGGTCATCTCGTATCTGCCGAAAAGGCTCAGCCTCCACCCATTTTGAAAAGTAATCCGTCATTGCTAGCATATATACTTTCTGCCCCGGTGCCTCTGGCAATTTTCCTACAATATCCATGCCCCACTTCATAAAGGGCCATGGTGATAGAACTGGATGAAGCGTCTCGGAGGGCTGGTGACGAATTGGTCCATGCATCTGACAAGGCTTGCATCTTTGGGTGAAGGTGGTTGCATCTTCTCTCATGGTCGGCCAGTAATAACCGAATCTAAGAGCTTTGTTAGACAGACTTCACCCTGCTGCGTGATTGCCGCATTCCCCCTCATGAAGGTTTTTCAATACTTTGGCGGCTTCTTGCGGTGCCAGACATCTTTGGAGTGGACCTGCGACAGATCTTTTAAATAGCACATCATCAATCAGTAAAAACTTACTTGTCTTAGATAGGAAAGCCTTGGCCTCTTTCCTGTCCTCTGGGAGAGTATTGTGCTTTAAGTACGCTATGTATTGTTGTGTCCAGTCGTCTTGTGCTGGGGTTTTAATGGTAGAGGCAACCTCTGTTCTGTAAATTGCTGGGCTCATCAAGTGCACATAAGGGATGTTGCGGTTGATTTCTGCCCCCAGACATGATCCGACGGCGGCCAGAGCGTCAGCTTGTGTGTTTTCTTCACATGGGATTTGTTCCAGGGTTATCTCGTCAAATGCCGTTATCAATTCTCGAACGATTTGCAAATAAGATGTCATCTTGGGGTCCTTTGCTGCATACACACCGTTAGTTTGATTAATTATTAGTAAAGAATCACATCTTACCTCCAAGATTTTGACGCCCAAGTCCCTTGCCAATGTGAGTCCGACGATTAGCGCCTCGTATTCTGCCTCGTTGTTCGTAGCGGTGAAATCGCAATGTACTGCTTGGAGCATTGTGTCCCCTTGTGGTGACTTCAGTACCACGCCCAGACCTGCGCCGTTTTGGTTTGATGCTCCGTCAGTGTGCAATGTCCATTTTTGCTTTGACAATCCGTCGATCAGAGTGCAAATCTCTTTTTCTGCTTCCTCTTGGAGTTTTGGACTGAAGTCTGCCACGAAATCTGCAAGTGACTGTGATTTCAAAGCTGTTCTCGACTCGAACCTTATGTCATAAGCTCCCAGTTGAATCGACCATTTAGCCATGCGACCTGTCAATTCTGGTTTCCTCATGATTGACTTCATGGGATAGTTAGTTCTAACACAAATGGTATGTGATTCGAAATAAGGACGTAATTTAATTGAAGCAACGATCAAAGCTAAAACTAACTTTTCAAGTAAGGCATACTTGGATTCCGGTCCATTTAGGGATTTACTTACGTAGTAGACTGGAGTCTGCTGCCCTTGTTCCTCTTTTGTCAGTACTGCGCTGACGGCGTGCTCCGAAACGGCCAGATAAAGTTGCAGCTCTTCGTCATTTTTAGGTTTTGTGAGCAATGGTGGCGACATCATATATTCTTTTAATTGTTGAAGCGCCTGTTCATGTCGGTCTGTCCATTCGAATTTTTTGTTTTTTCTCAAGACGTCATAAAACAAATGGCACCTGTCTGATGATTTTGAAATGAAACGATTCAAAGCCGCAATTCGTCCTGTTAACCTCTGGATGTCTTTGACGGATTTCGGAGATTCAATATCAATAATTGCTCGTATTTGTTCCGGGCTCGCCTCTATTCCTCGCTCGCTGACGATATATCCTAAAAATTCTCCTGACGTCACTCCAAAAGTACATTTCGCTGGATTGATCTTTAGGTTGTACTTTTTCAGTCTTCTGAAAGGTTCCGTCAGATGATAGATATGATCCTCTTTCTTCTTTGATTTGACGATCATGTCGTCAATATACACTTCCATGGTGTCCCCCATCAGATCTTTGAACATCAAGGTGACTAGCCTCTGAAACGTCGCACCTGCATTTTTTAGTCCAAAAGGCATAACAATATAACAATACGTACCTGTTTCAGTGATGAAGGCTGTGCTCTCTTGGTCATCGGGGTGAAGCCGTATTTGATGATATCCACTGAATGCGTCCATGAAGGATAACATTTCATGCCCCGCCGTAGCGTCAGCCAATGCGTCAATGTGTGGCATCGGAAATGAATCTTTGGGACATGCTTTGTTCAGGTCAGTGAAGTCCACACAGACTCTCCATTTGACTGGCTTGCCTTCTTCCTGCCCTTTCTTTTTCTGAACGACAACAACATTAGCTACCCAATCGGGATACTTTACCTCCTTTACCTTACCGGTTCGAAGCAGCGTATCAACTTCCTGGTTTATGATGACATTCCTTTCTTTTGCAAAGCGTCTTCTTTTTTGTCTGACGGGTTTGTGTAATGGGCTGACGTTTAACCTGTGAGTTATGATATTAGGATCAATACCTGTCATGTCATCGTGACTCCATGCAAACACGTCCTTATGTTCTTTGAGGAAGTTTATGAGTTCGTCTTTGAGGTGCTTTGGTATGTCTTTCCCGATGCGGATGACCCTTTCTGGATGTTCTGGGTCGATGGCGACTTCTTCTGTTTTGGCGTCATCTTCCACCAGAGCGGGGCCACCCTTTAATTGCTATGTGATCCTGGAGGCAGTTTGGTCCGCAGTTGGCTTCATCGCCGTTTGGTAGCAGGATTTGGCTGACTGTCGATCCCCCCTGATGCTTTGTACTCCCCACGGTGTTGGAAACTTGATTATTTGGTGATAAGTCGATGGAATTGCCCCCATTTGATGCAACCAGGGAGTTCCCAAGATCATGTTGTATGCTGGTATGCTTTCGACTACGTCGAATTTGACCTGCATGTTTAGACCATGGGTGTATACGGGTAACGAAATGTTACCTACGGTTTTGCTCGGCTCTCCATTGAATCCGACCAAGCTTGACCCGGATCCTGTTATATCTTCCTCCTTGGCTCCCAGTTCTTTCAATGTTTTCATGGTGGTAATATTCGCGGTGCTCCCGTTGTCCACGAGGACTCGTTTGACTTCGCAGTTTGCCACTCTAAGGGAGACCACCAACGTATCGTGATGAGATTGTATCGGATCAGAAATGTCCGTTTCATCAAATGTGATTGACGCATTCCTCCATTCCTCTTGACGTTTTCCGAT